GTCACTTAGACTTTTATATATATATAGATAATTTACTGGATGAAAACTAGTAACACATTTCTCTACTACTTGTGGACATGGTGGTATAAATGTTTTATATATCTTATATCATTTAATTCTAACAATAACCATATGAGGTCAATATTATCAGCTCAAGATAAATAAACGCATTTAATATTTCACAGGATGTTAAAAGTGGTTCAAAATATAGACCCCCGAATCTGTCTGTATTAGTCAGAGTCAAAATAGGAAATAGAAAAACTACACAGTAATTTGAGCAGGTAAGGTTTAATATTAAGAATTATTAATTACTAGAGGCCTGGTGCACAAAAATATGTGCACTCGGGGGGGAAGGGGGGGGTCCCTCAGCCCGGCCTGTGCCCTCTCGCAGTCTGGGACCCCTCGGGAGATAACGACCTGCTGGCTTAGGCCTGCTCCTGGGTGGCAGAGGGCAGGCCCAATCCCTAGGTGCAGCCCCTGGTCGGGCTCAGAGCAGGGTGATTGGGGAGTTGGGGCGCCGCCCCCTGTCATGCACAGAGCAGGGCGGATCTGAAGGTTGCGATGCCACCCTCAGCCACGCTCAGGTTAGGGCCAATTGGGGGGTTGGGGCACTGCCCCCTGTCACACTCAAGGCAGGGTTGATGGGGAGGTTGCGGTGCCACCCCCTGTCATGCACAGAGCAGGGCCCATAAGGGGGTTGGGGAGCTCCCCCCTGTCACTCACAGAGCAGGGCCCATCAGGGGGTTGGGGAGCTCCGCCCTGTCACTCACAGAGTAGGGCTGATAGGGGAGTTGGGGCACCGCCCCCTGTCACACAGGAGCAGGGCCAATCAGGGGGTTGGGGTGCCGCCACTCTCACACTCAGGGCAGGGCCGATGGGGAGGTTATGGCTCTACCCTGTCACACACAGAGCAGGGCCTATCAGGGGGTTTGGGTGCTGCCCCCTGTCACACTGATCCCAGTGCCGGGAGGCCTCGCGGCTCCGCTGATCCCGGTGCTGGGAGGCATATTACCTTTTTACTATATAGCATAGAAGCCTGGTGCATGGGTGGGGGCCGGCTGGTTTGCCCTGAAGGGTGTCCTGGATCAGGGTGGGGGTCCCCACTGGGGTGCCTGGCCAGCCTGGGTGAGGGTATGATGGCTGTTTGCAGCTGGTCACACACCCTTCAGGATGGGGGTCCCCACTGGGGTGCCTGGCCAGTCTGGGTGAGGGGCTGAGGGCTGTTTTCAGGCTGGGGGTGACTGAAGCTCCCAACCGGTCCTTTTTTTCTTTCTTTTTTTTTTTATTCTGGGCCAGCTTTAGCTCTGAGGCTCCAGCTCTGAGGCCTCTGCTGCTGAAAGCATGTATCTGGTTTGTTTGTGTTCTATAATCGAAACTCTGTATCAACTCCAGCTCTTAGATCCCTGGCTCGCTGAAAGCAGGTTTTTGGGGTTTTGTTTAGCTTCTATATTTGTTACAATGTTTCAAACTGCCAGCTCAGAGGCCTTCAAGGCAGGCGGGGAACGTTGCAGTCCTCCGTCACTGAAGCAATCAAGCCTCATGTTCAGTTTAAGCTGCCTGGCTGCCAGTGCCATCTTGGCTGGCAGTTAATTTGCATATCTCGCTGATTAGCCAATGGGAAGGGTAGCGGTCGTATGCCAATTACCGTGTTTCTCTTTTATTAGATAGGAGTAGAGGCCCAGTGCACAAAAATTTGTGCACTCCGGGGGGGGGGGGGGGTACCTCAGCCCGGCCTGCGCCCTCTCGTAGTCTGGGACCCCTCGAGAGATAACGACCTGCTGGCTTACGCCTGCTCCCGGGTGGCAGAGGGCAGGCCCAATCCCTCGGTGCAGCTCCGCTGATCCCGGTGCTGGGAGGCATATTACCCTTTTACTATATAGGGTAGAGGCCTGGTGCATGGGTGGGTGCCGGCTGGTTTGCCCTGAAGGGTGTCCTGGATCAGGATGGGCATCCCCACTGGGGAGCCTGGCCAGCCTGGGTGAGGGTATTATGGCTGTTTGCAGCTGGTCACACATCCTTCAGGGTGGGGGTCCCCACTGGGGTGCCTGGCCAGTCTGGGTGAGGGACTGAGGGCTGTTTTCATGCTGGGGGTGACTGAAGCTCCCAACCGCTCCTTTTTTTCTTTTTTTTTTTCTTTTTTATTCTGGGCCAGCTTTAGCTTTGAGGCTTGGCTCCAGCTCTTAGGCCTCCGCTGCTGAAAGTAGGTTTCTGGCCTTTGCTTACAATGTTGTGATCCTGCTGGCTGAAGCCTGGCGGACTAAAGCAGGTTTCTGTGGTTTTGTTTAGCTTCTATATTTGTTACTTAGTTGCTTAGAGTTGCAGCTCAGAGGCCTGCAGCGGCAGGCGGGGAACGTTGGAGTCCTCCGTCACTGAAGCAAGCAAGCCTCATGTTAGTTTCAAGCTGCCTGGCTGCCGGCCGCCATCTTGGTGGCAGTTAATTTGCATATTGCCCTGATTAGCCAATGGGAAGGGTAGCGGTCCTACACCAATTACCATGTTTCTCTTTTATTAGATAGGATGATAGGGATTAGAGTAACTATGATTGGCTACTAAGGATAAAAGGAATCCTAGGAATTGAGAAGAGCTGACTTAGGGAGTGGTCACTATCTCTAGGTCAGAGGCAGAGCACCTAAGGAAAAAACACATTTTAAAGAGCGCCCCTACCCTCACCATTCACCTGGGATCCAGATATTCTTGGAGAGGGCATAGCTGTGATCCAGTGAACGGCAGCGAAGTTCACTCACACTGCATGCTGTTAAGACTCACAGGGAAGCCACTTTCTGGGGTCCTGGGGAAACTGTCCAGAGGAAGGTGTCACAATGTAGAACCCACTGGGAACTCATTCATGGGGAAGGTTTGCACCAGAGAACTCACTAGGAAGTTCCCAAAATGTGTATGTAGGGAGCCCTAGGTGCAGTCAGGTGACATGGCCAGAAGCTACCCTGCACTGCTGCCCACTGTGCACTGTCGGAGCAGGCCAGGGGAGCACCCAGCACCAGGAAGAGCCCTTTCACTCTCTACTTGACATTACCCTCCATAGAAGATGCTTAACATTGTGCCATATGGCAAGGGATAAATGTCCTATTCTCACAAGCAGGACAATGAAAGTGGATGTGGAGTGCAGCAATAGGTCAGTGATGGCGAAGCTATGACATGCGTGTCAGAGGTGACACACACACTCATTTTTTTGGTTGATTTTTCTTTGTTAAATGGCATTTAAATATATAAAATAAATATCGAAAATATAAGTCTTTGTTTTACTATGGTTGCAAATATCAAAAAATTTCTATATGTGACACGGCACCAGAGTTAAGTTAGGGTTTTTCAAAATGCTGACATGCCGAGCTCAAAAGGTTCGCCATCACTGCAGTAGGTTAAAACCTGTCATACTGCCCACCAACAAATCTTTCTTTTTTGGTTAATCCTCACCTGAGGATATTTTTCCATTGATTTTTAGGGAGAGTGGAAGAGAAAGGAAAAGACAGAGAGAAACATCAATGTGAGAAAAACACATCGATTGGTTGCCTCCCTCACACCCCCAGACCAGGGCCTGGGCCAGGAAGAAGCCTGCAACGAAGGTATGTGCCCTTGACCAGAATTGATCCTGGGACCCTTTGGTCTGCAGATTGATGCTCTATCCATTGAGCCAAACCAGCCAGGGAAAAACTTTCTTTCTTTTTTTTTTTTTTTTATTTCAGAGAGGAAGGGAGAGGGAGAGAGAGATGGAAACCTCAATGGTGAGAAGGAATCATTGATTGCATGTGCCCTTGACTGGAATCAAACCTGGGACCCTTCAGTCTGTAGGCCGACACTCTATCCACTGAGCCAAACCAGCTAAGGCCAAAACTACTTTCTTAGTAATTCAATTATTATGTTTTACTGCCTTTACTTATATGCCACAAAATATGATATTTAATAAAATAAATGGAAATAAAAAGGAAGGAAGGAAGGAAGGAAGGAAGGAAGGAAGGAAGGAAGGAAGGAAGGAAGGAAGGAAGGAAGGAAAGAAGGAAGGAAGGAAGGGAAGGAGGGAGGGAGGAAGGGAGGAAGGAAAGAAGGTGCAACAGAATTATTCATGGAGATTCACATCAGTACTTCTTTTCCTTTAAATGTTTCTAGGTTAATCACATTGACTGAAAAATGTTCATGAGCCTGCCTTATTGAATTTTAGTACAGTGGCTTATCAAGCACACACTGAAATTATAAACTGGAGGGCCAAAGGCCATAAACCAGAGATTTTTTCCGTCTATTCAAATTATTTTTTAATTCTAGTTTCCTCATCTACTTGTTAATACAGGTCAGTTTGGTTGACAAGCTTTTGTTTGCAAATAAGAGCTTCCTTTGCTAATTAAAATCCTAATTGCATCATTTGTAGACTAAAATACTTAGGCAAGTTATTTAATTTATCTGGGCCCCAAATTCTTCATGTGAAATGGAAATTATAATAGGATCTACCTTATAGATTTACTTTGAAAATTAAATGTTATAATCTTTTAAAGCATTTGGAAAACTCCTCAGTATATAGTGTTATATAAATATTTGTATATGTATTACTAGATCACAGCCTAGGAATATTAATTCTTTTAGCAATTTCAGTTTATAGAACTCTACATTTACTCAACATTTTTGCCTAGTTAATCAGATTTCATTGTTTAATGGCAATTACAAAATATATAGGGTTATGCTATAGTACATAGAATATAAATGCTGTTCATTGGTATCTTACTTTTTTCTATAGCTACTAATAAAACTGCTTTAACTGATAGTGTTTGAAGATCCTGTTAGTAAACCCCTTACTTCTTAATTTTTGCTAGGAATGATCTGAACAGTAAGGTTTTTGGTGAAGCATCTTTGACTATAGAAAACCCATGTTATTAACATAATCATTAGCACTCAAATTATTAAATAGTTTTAATTTGCATCCCTTAAAAGAATTACTTTAGGCATTTTGTAAGAAGGTCTAAAAAATTAATAACCCCCTTCTTTTTTTTTTTTAACAGATGACCGTGAAAAATATTCTGAAATCGTCACGATGTCCAATGCTGTTGAAATGTTATTTACACTTTATCCTCCCAAAGGTGCCCATGTGAAAGATAATAGGCGACTTAGGTCAACTTGGCTAAGACCTACAGTAGATGGGGAAGAAGGCTACAAATATATAGGTAAGATACTGAACCATATTATTTCCTTTTATAGTGAAAAAGAAATGATTCTTTATACAACTCTAATTTGTCACTTAGATAATATGAGGTGATACATACTCTGTACAACATATTCTCTTTAGTTCTAAGTATTATACCTGCATTTTAAAAAGTGGTTGCTTTATACTTTGGTGCCTTCACTAGAATAATGGAACCATACTGTGTTCATCTATTCACAGTATGAACACTTTAATTGTTGTTGTTTCAAAGTGATTCTACAAGGAAAGTTGCTATTAACATTTATATATTGAACTTTGTTTAGAAATATCTTTGCTTTTCACTAAACTGTTTTTCTAAAGTGGTTATACCATTTCATAGTCTTCCTCAGCAGAAGCGTGAGAGTTGCAATAGCTCCACAGCTCCATCAATACTTGGATAAATCAGTCTTTCTAATTTTAGTCATTGTAATAGCTATGAATTGGTGTTCCATTGTGATTTAATCTGCATTACTCTCACTGATATTAAGCATCCCTCCATGTATTTGTCATTTGTATATCTTCTTTAGTGAAGTGACTGATCAAATTTTTATCAAGTGTTGAGAGTCCTTTAATCATAATTGCCAAAAGCTGAAAACAGCACAGATATTCTTCAACTGGTGAATGGATAATCAAAGCTTGTTAAATCTATACAATGAAATACTTCTGAGAAGTGAAAAGGAATGAACTATTGATACACACAACAACATGGATGCGTTTTAAATACATCATATCATGTGAAAGAGGCCTAGCTACAAATGCTACATATTGATTCCATTTCAGTGACACTTTGGAAGAAGTAAAACTATAAGGCTAGGTGGAGGTGGGCAAAGAGTGGAAAATGGGGGACATCTGTAATCGTGTCAACAATATAAAACAAACAAACAAACAAAAATAAGGCCCTGGCTGAGTTGCTCAGTTGATTGAAACATGGTTTTGTGTACCTAAAGGTGGCAGGTTCAATTCCTGATCAAGGCACATACCTGGATTGTGTAGTCAATCCCTGGTCAGGGTATGTATGGGAGACAACTGATCAATGTTTTTTAATTTAAATTTAATTTAAATTTCCTCCCTTAACCTCCCCTCCCTTTCCCTTACCCCTCCCCTCCCCTCCCCTCCCCTCCCCTCCCCTCCCCTCTCTTCTCTCTCTCTCTCTCTCTCTCTCTTGATCATGGCAGCATTACATGGCTCTTGACTAAAAATTAGTCAATACAAACTATGTACCAAAAAGAGTGACTATTACTGTGAATAAAATTTAAAAAATAAATACAAACTAAAAAGAGAAAAGAATATATATGAATAGCAAACAAGTTAAAAAAAGTTGCCCTGTTATTTACTAGTCATTATTTATTAGTCATTAGGGAAATGTAAATTAAACCACAATGGGATACCACTACACACCTACTGTAATGGCTGAAATGAAAAAGACAACAGCACACCAAGTGTTGACAGGGATGTGCAGCAATTGGAATTCTAATGTTTGCCATTGCAAATGCAAAATGGTAAAAAACACTTTGCAAACTAGTGTGACACTTTCTTAAGAAGTTAAATATATACTTTTTATATGACCCAGCCCTAGCACTTCTAGAAATCTGCCCAAGAGAAAAGAAAGTATGTGTCCATATAAATACTTACGCATGAGTATCTGTAGATACATTTTTGGTAAAAAACCCAAACTAAAAACAACTCAAATGCCCATCTACAGGTGAAAGGATAAACAAAATGTGATGTATCCATGCAAAATACTACTCAGCAATATAAAAGAACAAACTATTGACACTATTGATGCACGTATAACATGGCTGAATCTCAAAAGAATTATGCTGAATGAAAGATGCCAGATTTGTTTTTTTTAAAAAAGAAGTGCAAGTGTATGATTCTATTTACATAAAAGTCTAGAAAATGCAACCAAACTAAACCTTATGACAAAAACACATCTGTGGATATCTGGGAATGGGGGTTGGGAGTAGAAGTGAGACATGATGAATTCTAAAATGTGGGGGTCACCGAAACCGGTTTGGCTCAGTGGATAGAGCATCGGCCTGCAGACTGAAGGGTCCCAGGTTCGATGCCGGTCAAGGGCATGTACCTGGGTTGCGGGCACATCCCCAGTGGGAGATGTGCAGGAGGCAGCTGATCGATGTTTCTCTCTCATCGATGTTTCTAACTCTCTATCTCTCTCCCTTCCTCTCTGTAAAAAATCAATAAAATATATTTAAAAATACAGTAAAATAAAATAAAATAAAATGTGGGGGTAACAAATATTTATGATTTTGATTGTGGTGATGGTTTCATGGATGTACACATATTTCAAAATTCATTAAATTATCTGCTTTAAATATGCGCAGTTTTCATGTGTACTTTAATATAATAATAAAAATAAAGCTGAAAACATAAATTTAAAGATCCAAGATAGTGAAATCTGTATTTTGAAATCTGGTCAGGGTACATACCTAGATTGTGGATTCAATTCTTGGTCGGGGCACGTACGGAAGACAACTGATCAGTGTTTTTCTCTCACATCAATGTCTTTCTCTGCAAATATTTTTTCAAGATGATCTCTCTTTAAGTTTTAAAACTAGCATTTTATGTATTTATTTGTTTATTAAATCTTTATTGTTGAAAGTATTACATATGTCCCCTTCTGCCCTCCCTCCCCTTGCCCCCGCCACTGATTCCTTCTAGCCTGCCTCCACCACTTGCCCCTGGCCTTCACCACACTGTTCTCTGGGTCCATGGATTATGGATATATGCATGCAACTTCTTTGGTTGATCTCTTCCCACCTCCTACCTACCCCTGTCCTCCCTTATGGGAAATTTGTATTTTGATATTTTTGCAAGATGATTTCTCTTTAAGCTTTAAAACTAGCATTTTAGAACTTACTACAGAGTCATAAATTTAATGCACTCTTATTGGGCCAGTAAATATAAAAGTATATTTAAGTGCTCAGTTCTAATAGATAGCCTAGAAGAGAGGGGAAACAAAACAAGAAAATTGTAAAAATGAATGTCAAAGTCCTTAGGTTCTATAAAATGGATCAATACTCTGGTTGCAATTATTTTCTCTTTGCAGTTTTCTACCTGAAAATTACCAGAACATGAACCATATCATTTTTTTTAAAATTGTGTTCACTGTTTAGAGCCTGTTTGTGAACATTTGGTTCGAATAAAATAAATATAAAGCCTATATGCATGTGGCATTACATTGTGACTTGAGGACTCCATCTTTGGAGGGTTTAAACTTATATTTTCCCTTTTTAGCAAGTGATTACCTCTTTGAATTACAGTTGTTATTAAATTGATTGACAAGAGAGTTTGCAGCATTTGCCTTGAAAAAGATCAGTCTATTACACAGAGCGCTCTCTGAAACTCAGTAACTCCTTGACTATAGCATTTTAGTGAAGATAGCTCTGGGAATTTATTATGTGCTCCAACATTAATACTCCACACTGTAGGGCCTCCTGTTTATTGATTTCACTCTGTAGATTTAGAAATGTATCATCAGCAAGAACTGAGGAGTAGTTAACAGAGTTACTGAATGCTCCATAAATGGCATGACTTTCTAACAACTTACATAGTTTTAGGGCCAGGCATGCTGTAAAAATACTCAGTAAATTCCATAAGCCCTAGCACGGTAGCTTGAATATAACTGGAATGCCACGATCATCATTTCAAATTGGTTAATAGGCACAAAGTTTTTCTTCTGAATCATATAAAGTTATCATATCATCTTAAACACCCACAATATAAAAAAAATATTTTACATATTTTTTCCAGGAACATTGGCCTTGTCAAACTTATTTTTGGAAAGGCTATCATGGGAAGCTCATCTTTTAACTTGTCTTTGGTCATCCTTCCTTATCTGTTGTCTTTCCTTGAGTTCCCCTGGTTTTCTGGCTTGTCCAAAATACACTGAACTTGTTTCTCTCCTCCATAAAGTTTTTGTGACTTTGGTGGATTTTCAACCTGGAAGCTTTAGATTATATTAAAGAACTGGATTTGTAATGGGAATTCCTTGAAAGGGGTAGGTCAGCCATTTTCTCTCAATGGAATCATTTAGGGAATACACATGAATGATTAAATTATTTAAACTAATGGTCCATTCTTGACTGAAACCATGTTATTGTAAGTTTTTCTAATTTGTCCAGATCCTGAATAATGAGCATAGACCTCTAATTTCCTAGCACTTATTTTTCATATATCATTTACTTGATATACTAAATTTTCTTTACCTTTATAACATATGGTTATTTAATTTATGTAATTAATACTGGACCTGATTTCCTGGCCTAATCACTGTTTTGTTGCCCGTTGGGAAAAAAAAAATATAAGGTGTCTTTTTATGGCATTGACTTTATTCTGCTGCTTTCAGGCAAGAGCTGATGTGCATTAGCCAAGCGATAATCCCATCTTTAAAAATTGGCAATTTCGCAATTGTCCTTGACAGTCAAGACTGATATTTTATGATCTCCTCTCTTAGAATTTTCTAATTTGCAATATAAGACTTTCTTTTCTTATGTAGCATTCGTTACAGTTGTAACTTTTTCACAATCCACAAAATAAAGGGTATGCATTGATTAACAAGAATCTGTCTTTTCTCTAAAATTGACCACTTAAAATATTATTCCTCAGAAGCCCTCTTTCTAATCCTTAAAGTCTTTGGAATTTCTCTCTAAGTATTTCTGGAAAATTCTAATTTCTTTTAAGTTATGGAATTCAAAATAAGATATGGTAATCAAATATGTTGGATTTATTGTGGATATAACCCAGCTGCTACCTGTTCTGCTTTATATTTTATACCTTTAAAAACTTTTCATCTCAGCAGTTATTTAGATTTCTATTCATCATTTTATCCTGACTTGTCCTGATTTTTCCTTAGAATATCAACATTTACTACTCTTGTCACAACTAAGTTGTTTTGAATTCATTCTTTGAGGATTACCCTAATCTGAAAGAAGCTCCATGTATTTTACTTTTATTTATTTA